GTCCCATTTTTTTATCACGGATAATTCCAGGGATCCGTCCCCTAACTTTAGGACTATTTTGTGCCTGTGTAGGGTCTGGAATCCCACAGGTCTTTCACTCAGTCACACTTTATAAAGTGAGACAAACTCACGGAATATAAGGACTCTGTTGTCCCCTTCTGTGTCTCCCTCCTTCGGAGTTCCTTCAATTCGCAGATTCCAGAAGACTGGGTACACGACCAGTCCCGAAAAAGGTCTGAAGGACTCTCACCTAAAGGACCTGCTGTGGCCACAGTCTTCTGGACGTCAGCTGGTCGCCTGGAATCTTTGAATATGTTGGAATCTGGCTCGAAAGACCAAAGTAATGTCAGGTTTAAGACATCATAAACAACACAAGGAAAGAGACACAAAAGTCAGAATTCTGTTTTATGCTCAAGGAGAATGGAATAAGGTCTGACCAGCACAGTCTCCACTGAACCGGCAAATCCTCCAAACCATCCTGCCTTTGAAATCCGAGCGTGTCCTTTTATTACAAGCTGGGCGGGTCCCTAGGTACATGCCTGAGAGCTGACACTGAAGGATGGGGGGAATCACAGCTCCCAGTTTCTCAGTAATTTAGTAATTGTTACAAGTTTCACACAATGAGCATTCAGTGTTTCTAATCAGTGTCTAATCACACGATGTGCAACAAGCAGTTGCACGAGTAAGCAGATGCCCGAGTCAGCAGATGTCCTTGGGTCACATTAGGTCAGACCCAAGGCTCAGCATTCTCAAAGTCTCCTCATGAGACTTCAAACAATGCAGCAACTGTTCAGCATAAATGGTAAAATCTTTAAATGTAATAAAAGCATGGTAAAAGAAAACACAGATAATTATCTTAACAATGTGACAGTGGCTGGTCCCGCTTGACCTATACCAGATCGGACCCACGGCTGCCAACGACATCGCCTCCTAGGCTAAGCTGTAGTGGAACTCAACTCTGGTCCAAGGAGGACCACCTCTCCGGTGTCTCCAGCAGCAGGAACTTTCGAGCGGTTTAGCTCTTTGCTGTGCATGGCGCACGTCTGGCATGCATCTGAGCAAGACTGATTGCTCTTTTTAAATAAATTATTTTACTTTATTTTTATTCGTTTTAGACAGCCTGCAACTCTTGGCTGGTGAACTAGCAGGCTGTCCACCTTTTTAATACGTTTAGCCAACTGCTGGTTGTTTTTGTTTTTAACTGTTTCTTTCTTTTATTGCAGGCTGCTTGCTCATAGTAGGCACCATCGGCCTTGGTGGTGGGAGTTCTCCACGTGTGTGTGTGTGTGTGTGTGTGTGTGTGTTCCTTCACCGTGCATCTCCTGGATGCATGGCACTGTGACGGGTGACTTTAGTTTTGTTCGGTGTGTGTTTTATTTGGTTGGCCGAATTGGACCCTGGTAAGCTTCAGCCTGTTCAGATTAATTTAGTGTCTTTTCATTTTCTTTTATATTTTAATAAAATTGCATGTTATTGGTCAGACCACGTCTCCTGCCTGATCTGTAGAGTGGACCTGTGTGTCCTTATTTCCTGGGGTGTAACTCCCCAGGTGGCCTTTTGTGTTACTGGCAACTACAGCCAACGCCGGATGCTACATTTGGCATTGTTTGCAGGATTCTGCAATTTTAAAAAGGCAGAGACGTGGGCTCCTAGTTACATGCTAATAGGGATTGTTTTACTTGATTTATTTTAACTAATTTAATTGTTTTTATTGTTATTGTTTTTTTAGCAGGTTGGGAGAAGCAGAACAGCAGAGTTTATTTTGAGGTGATACGGTTCCAGTTCTTGGGGGTAAGTGATGGAGCCAACTGTTCAGGAACTGAAGGACATGATCCAACAGTTACAGATGGAAAACGACCAGTTGCAGCAAGAAAATGCTGCAGCCAGCACAAGCAGGGTTACTTCTTCATCTGCAGTCGCCCCTCAACCTAGCTCCTCCAGCGTTGAGGTCCCTGTAAGGGAGAAACTGGTTTTTATCCCCCGGGAGCGTAAATGCCCAGTTTTTAGTGGAAAAGGGGCACGGGGTTACCTGAGTGGCTTGGGGAGGTGCAGGCGTGCATGAGAGTGCGTCATGTGTCTGTGGTTGACCAGGCATATTTTATGTTTGACCACCTGAGGGGGGAGGCTCGTGAGGAAATTAAGTTTGGCCCCAGGGGTGACAGAGAGGACCCAACTAAAAAAACCACTATTTTGCAGGAGCTGTATGGGTGCACTGACTCCTATGTTGCTTTGCAGGAGGCGGTTTTCTCACGGCATCAGCAAGAGGGGGAGACAATCCATGAGTTCTCCCTAGCACTAATGAGTCTTATGGCTGCTGTAGAGCAACAGGCCCCCAGCAGAATGGTTAATGCTGAGGTGTTGCTAAGGGACCAGTTTATTGAACGTGAGCAACGGGTCCCTGCGTCGTGAGTTGAAGCAGTTTGTGAGAGGGATGGCCACGGCAACACTTCTGGAGGTGAGAGCTGCGGCAATCCGGTGGGAGCATGAGGGTTTGATGGGAGGTGTTAGCGGCTGCAGGTCTTTAATCCCCCAGGTGTTAGGTCTCCAATATGGGGTGCAGTGTCATCCGGCAGCAGTTGATCCACCCCAAGCTACTGAGCTGAGTGAGTTAAGAAAGCTATTAAAGCTCCAGCAGGACCAAATAAATAAACTCACTCAAAGCAATTCTTCCCTGCAGGTCGTCTAATGAGCTTTGAAAGAAAAGCATCTGGACTTCTTTGAGTTGCTTGAAGACGTTTCACCTCTCATCCGAGAGGCTTCTTCAGTTCTGAGGTCAAATGGTGGAGAGTCCCAGATTAAAACCCAGTGGGAGTTTTCCCCCGAAGAGGGAACAAAAGACCCCCTGATGATCTTCTACATAAACACATTGAGGGTGGGTGTGGGTCCTATTCAGCCAGCCCCAACTACAATGTCCAAGTTGCAGTCTTTTTTGGGCTTTGCCAACTACTACCGGCGGTTTGTAGAGGGCTTTGCCCGGTTGGCTGCCCCTCTCCACAGGTTAGTTGCAGAGCGGGGGAGTATAAAATCAAGAGGGAGGATGGGTCAGAAAATGGGTGAGCACTGGACTCAGCTGTGTCAAGACAGCTTTGAGGCTCTCAAAAGCCGGCTAGTGACATCCCCTGTGTTAGCCTATGCCGACTGATGGACTGAGACTGATCTCAGACTTGTTAAATATACAAAAAAAAAAGTCTGGATTAATTCTCAGTTCTGTGAAACCAATTCATGCCTGCTGCCTTCCTTTGTGTGTGTGTGTGTGTGAGTGTGCGTGCGTGCGTGTGACTCTGTTGCCCCTGAGGTCGTACATTTTCTGAGCTGGTTGGTTAGATAACAACTAAGGAAATATACAGACAAACTCCACATTAACACAAACAGATATGGCTTCACATATAAGAACTGTTCTATTTTTTGTCAGTCCGATGTTGGTTTTTTGCAGTTTCACATTCTTTACAAAACAAAGATAATATGAATGTTTTATTAACAAATTACAATTATAAAGAAAACATTTAGGTGTTAACAAACAAGAATTTATTAACAAAACTGCTGATGTCTTTCCAAAATGTTAAAGTTAAAGTCCCATTAGTTGTCACACACACTCATGTGTGTGTGTGAAATTTGTTCTCCGCATTTGACCCATCCCCTGGGGGAGCGGTGAGCTGCAGACACAGCCGCACTCGGGAACCATTTGGTGGTTTAACCCCCCAATCCAACCCCTTCATGCTGAGCGTCAAGCAGGGAGGCATTGGGTCCCTTTTTTATTTTTTTTTTAAGTATTTGGTATGACCCGACCAGGAATTGAACCCTGATCTCCCAGTCTCAGGGCAGACACTCTACCACTAGGTCACTGAGCTGGTCGACGTATAAGTGAAACAGGGTTTAAGGGAGCCAAATTTAAGACTTTTAAGGCCACTTTGACCAAATTTAAGCTGCTTTTTTAAAATTAAATTTAAGCTATGATTTCCAGCTATTGCCTGGAACGTCACAAACATGGGATTAGCCATCCAGTTACCATTAAACTCTCATTTCCCCATGGCGCAAGCTCCCACTAGCTTAACCAGCTAATATGCTCATCTAAAAATAGCCCCCTTTCACTGAATGTACAGTTCCGCTTACGTCAATATCATACACAAAAAATGCTGAACACTAACTAGAAATTCACGAAATTTTTATAGAAATAAGAATCTTGTTTATTGGGTCTTTGGTAATTTAAGACCTTTGGAAACTGTACTTAAGGATTATTTGTCATTTTTAAGGATTTTTAAGGCCTTAAATTTGGAAAAGCAAATTTAAGACTTTTTAAGGACCCGTGGATACCCTGGTGTAAGCCGAGTAGATTTGCAGTAATGTGACGTCATCGGCAGTCGAAGGACCCTGAGCAGATTCTGCACCCGAGCAGATTCTGTACCGACACCGGGTAGCAGGTACTCGCAGCGCCGGGTGCGTCGCTCATGAGCTCCATTTCATTAACTTGCCCCATGTTTCTATAAACAGAAAAAAATTTTAAATGTAAAATTCCAGAAGGTAGGCTAGAAAAGTCCCATGTGATCAGTTTTCAATAGTGCACCGGTTGTTGAAACCGTAGGCTATAGAATAAATGGGCATTGTAGCTCACTGTGTTGACTCCAGTTGGTTTTGGAGTGAGGGACGCAACATTATGCTCTCCAGCACCCAATGTGGCATTACGTATTCATGTCTATGGATCTGAAGCTCGAACAGTGAGAGAATGACGTTCATTAAACCAATCATCCATGCCAGAATGAGCGTGCTCACCCCAACGTTCATCAGGTCAATTACGAGCGAGTTCAGTTCACGTTCACACAAAAAAAGAACAAGTTCATTAACGATCGTTCAAAGAACGCAGTCAGGCACAACACAGCTAATGACTAAGTCTCAAATAAGATGGGTAAAACAAGGGAAGGTGGTCAAAAATGGACAATTTTTTCTGCAGCTGAAATCATAAAGAATGAAAATATATAGCTAAATGACTTACAAAGGAGCACACGTACTTTTCAATCTTTTTATTGAATATTAAGGTAAATATTTCACATTAATACAGGCTACATAAAGTAGAGCCACTATACGACATGAAATTTACTCTCATTGTAACCCTTTTTAGTATGTAAACAATTATACATGTATTTACCACTCTAAAAGGTTCTGATTTCTCTTTAGATAATCACCATCATCATCTAGTTCTGGGCAAAGTTTAAATAGCTATTTCATGTTGAGCCCCCTGCAGCCCTAGAACAGTGTGTGTGAGTTGAAGTCATAATCGCTAAACTATGCAGAGACTAGATCCTGTTGAACAGGTGAACGCTCATGTTTGATTGCATCATTAGGACACTGAAATCAGCTCTAGCTTAATTTTTGTTCCTCTTTTCTTGTCCGAGATAGGCACATCAAAGATTTGTGTCGAGGGAACTTTGACTTCTTCAGCCTCTGCACTCCACTTTGAGGTCTCTAAAGCTAATTTTTACTCTTGGTCTGGTTGGGTCATTTTTCCTCAGTTGGTATTACACGTCCGTACTGTGGATCATGCTGTGTGCATTTAACTGCTGTGAACACCATCTAGTTGACGTGGTTTAGGTGCACATTACCCACGTGAGGTGCCCAGGTACCAGGCCAAACCTGAGGAGCACAAAGGTAGAACCTGTGTTAGAAAAGGCGGCAGTTACAGCAAGCCATTCAGAATTATATTAACATGAACCAACCTGCTGCTGTGGGTCTGAGCTTTCTGCATTGTTTGGGACCACTTTGATGATTGGGCTCCATGCAGGGTCGCCTGTGTGCAAACCATTGTACATCGGACCCCCAGGACCTTCTGCCATGGGAGGGTGGGGCGTCAACATGGTTCCTCCATACATCGACATAGGCATCCCCTAGACAGGTAGGAAACAGGTTGGTACTGACACATTTAAGAGAGGCAGAGTGACTTCTCAGCTTTTGGTTCAAGTTACCTTTTGGAAGTCCATGTAACTGTTGGGCAAATGCTGAGGCTGGTGGTAGTTGTTGGCAGGGTTTGCAATCCCCGTGTCATCCTGCTCCATAGGCTGGTGCTGAGAGAAGGCTGACTGCTCTGTCTGCAGCTGTGGGTGCATCATGTGGCTGCCCATTAACGGCTGGGACCAACCAGACATGGCCTCTGTAATAAATACAGCCATGTTAGCAGTTTTCACCTGTAATACAGCAAATAGTCCAATAACAGACTCCTCTTACCTGAGGCACTCCCGACCCCAAAGGACCAAATCCCACCCTGTCCAACAGGTGCCGTGTAGCTGCTCGAGAGTATTGGAGGGTTGACTGAACCCGTCTGCCTGATCCTGGCCAACCGTTCTGTGCCAATGGGCTGGGGAACTTTCCGATCCTGCTGTGAGGAGTTGCCCGGTTTTGGCTGGGGAGGAGGGGCAGCGGCTGAGGTGGAGAGGGCAGAGGAGGACACCGTGGGGGGAGGAGGGGCGGGGGGTTCACCTGGTTAAGAAAATTATTGTTTGTTTTTTAAAGTTCAAGCTTAAATATGACAAACATTCATTAAAGTAGATTTTCAATGCTAAATAATCCAATTCATAATGGCTTCCACAGTAAATGTACATTAATTCAATTCTGTTTATTTATATAACGAGAAATCACGACAAGAGTCGTCTCAAGGCACGTTACACAGTAAACATTCCAATACAGGTCAGTTCATGAAGCCAATCAGTAAAACGTTTCCTATATAAGGAACCCAGCAGGGTGCATGGAGTCACTGACTAGTGTCAGAGTCTAGCGACAGTGGAGAGGAAAACTCCCTTTTAACAGGAAGAAACCTCCAGAGGATCCTGGCTCAGCATTAGAAGCCATCCGCCACGACTCACTGGGGATCGGCAAGGTGGAGCAGGCAGGCAGACACACACACACACACACAATATATATATATATATATTAGCAGTCATAGAAAATGAACCTGAAGTGGATGCACTCCATGGGTGGGGGGAAAAGTGCTGTCGGTTGAACGAGGGTGTGCCAACCCCTGTGTGGCCGTGCAGATAGACAGGACTGCCAGAGATGCTGGAAGCATAGCTGGTCAAAGCTGTATAGGGACAATAAAAAATAGCTCAGTGTCAAGCAAAACATGCTTTTTTTCCATCTTTAAAATGTCTATATTGGTTTTCATATGAATCTAACACCATAAAAAACTGTGTGTGCATTAATTATGAACTCGGAGCAAACCGTTAACAATGGGGCTGTTGACAATCCTCTGGGAGGCAGAGCGATATCCAGGGGCTTTGGAGCTGTCTGGAGGAGGTGGGGGCATCATGTTTTCCATCATGTAGGTTGGTGGGGCAGAGTATGACTGATTGGGAGGTGACCTTGCAGGCAGATGGCATGCACCCCACACCTGATTGTTTCCCACCTGTTGGTCAATGACACACGTTAATTTATTCACTGCCATTGATGGCAAACGTCGTCATTTTAAATCCACCCGTTCACTGCCAATGACGACTAGTCATCATTTGCATTTTTTTTTACGTGTGGCCGTCGGAACGAGCCCCCGCACCGAGAAAACAAAAATCCCAGCTCTAAAGCTGACCTTCATCCGTGTACGTCATTGGTCACGTGATCAGGAAGCAGAAAATCCATATGTTAGGAGATCGTTTTGGGCCGCTGCTGTAAAAAAAAGTGAGGCGCGAACCAGAAAAGCTTCTGCCGATCACAATTCAACAACGGATTATGAAAGAACGGATAAAGCTCGAAACGCGCGGATTCCTCCTGATGTAAGAGGTGAGTCTCCGCTTTGTTTTGTTAAGTTTTGGTGTTGACATCATCATAGAGCACAACGTTCTATGACTCTTAAAAAAATAACTGTGAAAACGCTGAGACACGCTGGCAGCGAAGGGCTTTTCTGATCAGGAAACGGCTGGCAGAGAATGAATTAACAAACAAAATCCAGAAGAAGAGATTTAACATCTTTAGAAACAACAAAAACCTGAAAAAGTGTCTCTTTACTCAGACCAACCTGGCTGCTGTTGTCAAAGATGCTGCTGAAATTGAAGAGACCTGCATGACCATAGTTGGGGGGGATTTGCTGAGGCTTGCCTGCACTGGCAACATGTTGCATCTGGGAACCATTCATTATTCCCAGATTGGCGGAGACTTGCAGGGAGCCAGGAGCCTGGGCTTGGATTGGTGGGAGCAGATTTGTTGGCTGAGATGATTGGTTTTGGGTTTGCTTTGAGGGTTCCTGTTGAGCGCTGAAGGGTACAAACACAGACGGCTGCTGCTGCTCAGCAAGGGAGAAACAAGGCCCTGATGGCTGCATACGATGGGACACTCTAGGTGCAGGAGCGGAGAAGTGGGGGATGGTGTTGTTGGGATGTGATAAATTGTGTGAGAGAGCATGTGAAGTAACTGTGGAAAGGTGGGAGGTGGGCTGTGGGTTGGGAATTAGTGGATGAGCCTCTGTAGATGATACAGAAGAAGAGGAGGGCGGTAACTGCTGTCGAGACTCCGGCATGGAACCCAAAGCCAAAGCAGGAGAGGGGAACCCCGCAGAGCTGATGTTTTCACTAATGGATGTGGGCTGACTCTCTACGGGAGACTGCTCATCTTTCCCAGGTGGCGCGACAGTACTGGACTCGGTTTTACTGGGCTGGATGGGGGGCTGTAAGATAGGTCCGACTGGCTGCTGGGGGGCGGTAGTTGTAGTTGCAGTGGAGCTGTGATGTGCTGGTGAATCCGTGCCTCTTACTGTGTTACTGCCACTCGAGGCAGAGGCAGCAGACACAGGGGTAACTCCTGTTGGTTTGGGGTCCGGGGCAAACAGCTGCTTCCTGACAGAAGATGGGGCAGGGACGCTTGACTGAGGGTTAAATGGAGTTGGGTTGGGGGCATGAGGTAAGGCTGCAGCAGCAGAGCTGTTGGGTGCAGTGATAGTTGTGGTGTTGGTGGTTATGGTGGGAATTCCTGAGCTGACCGTGCTGTTGGGCTCATTGTTGGTCGAATTGAGCCTGGCCTGCGCCACGGTGCAGTTGGTACCTCCGTTGTGTTTGGGGGAGCTGTTGGCACTGCCAGGACTTACAGGACGCACAGGGAAGGGTCCCCAGGTGCTGGCAGCAGGTGAGAAGGTTCCGCCAAACTGGGCCATGGGTAGACGAGGGTGTCTGATCTGGTGCATGGTTGAAGCCAGAAGAGCCAGCTGGGGGTGAGCGTACGCCAGCGGCAGCGACACTGGGAAGGGCTGCCTGATGTTTGACGATAGCCCCTTCACAAGCTTGCTCCCAGTCTGAGGAGAGGATGACGTCGATGAAGAGGGTTGAAACGAAACGCCAGCAGAAGTTACCAATGAGCTCAGAGCTTTTGCACTGGTGGCCGAAGCACTGCTGATTCCTGTGGTATTAGGAAAGGAGGCTGAGGTTGCTTTAGATCCCGGGGCTCTGATGTGATTGCGAGGAATCAGATCCTCAAGCTCTTTGGCTGGATCCTGGATTAGAGCATTGATCAGCTGGACTGCATACCTTGTAGACTCTGTGCCTCCTCTGAAATTAAACATGACAGATTTTTGTGTGAGAAAAATTCTAAATAAGGGAACTTGTTTGGTTTTTAACTCATTCACTGCCAATGACGACAAAAGTCGTCATTTGAAATCCAACCGTTCACTTCAAATGATGACTAGTCGACTAAAGTCGCCATTTGCATTATTTTTTCTTGTGTGGGCATCGGAACGAGCCCCCGCACCATGAGCACAAATATCCCAGCTCTAAAGCTGATCCTCATCTGCGTACGTCATACGTCACGTGACCAGGAAGCAGAAAGTCCATGTGTTGGGAGATCGTTTTGGGCCGCTGCTGTAAAAAAAAGTGAGGCGCAAACCGGAAAAGCTTCTGCCGATCGAATTATGAAAGAACGGATAACGCTCGAAAAGCTCAGATTTTTCCTGATGTAAGAAGTGAGTCTCCTCTTTTTTTGTGGTACTTTTGGCGTTGACATCATCCTAGCGTGCAACGTTCTGTGACTATTAAAAAAACCAGTAAAAACGCTGGCAGTGAAAGGCTTTTCTGATCAGGAAACGGCTGGCAGTGAATGAGTTAAAAGGCCAGCAAACAGCACCAGACATAGCTGCTGTTGTTCTGTTTATGTGTTCCATTTTGGTGAAAAATCAAAAGTATGAAATCTGTTTAATACAGAGTTTTTTCATGTATTAAAACAAACACACAAGCCAGCTTTGATCAGCTACAGCTACAGTGCTAGCTCTAGTCCAGCAGGTGGTGGCATTTTTACCTTATGGTGATCATTCTCTCTCCATTCTTGTCTTTCTGTTTGTCTACATCAATGTGAGCTCCTGTCACGTCTTGGATGGCTGTGATGTTGCACCCGCCTCGGCCCATGATGCGGGACACAACCGAGGCTGGTACAGAGAGCTTCTTTGATCTACAATAAACCAACAGTTAAATGTTTACTTTGGTCTTTTTGATTCACACTCACATTGATTAATGCATATTTACGTAAAGAGGACTATACGTTTTCTTAGTATGTATGTAAAGAATGCATCTATTTTTTCCTTTTAAACATCATAAAAAAGCCATCTCGAAAACACAAGAGTAAAACCAGAGAACAGACCTTCTCACCACCTCTTTCCACCCTTCTTCTCTTTTCTGGCCTCTCTTTGGACTCGTGAGGCTGAGCTTACTGTTGGGCGAGGTGACAGGAAGAGCCATGGTTTTAAATGGCGAAGGCAAAGAGTTGGAGGAGTCGCTTGTATCTGGAGCTCTGAAACAAAACGGACAGCATTTCTCTCCGATTTTTGTAAAAAAAACAAAAACAAACAAAAAAACCCACAATGCAATACAACAAAAACACGACCGGGGACTGATGGTCCGCACTAGTACAACTAACTAGTCTGTGACTCAGGGCTAGGCCATCCTGGTCCTTGAGTGGCATTATCCACTTCTCTGCCCCAACACACCTAATTGATTGATTGTTTCACTTGTTCACCAAATTTATCAACTTTAAAAAAAAATCTGTCAATCACCTAACAATTAAAATCAGGTGTGTAACAAGGAAAAACCAGAATGCCTACTCCTGCTGGAAATCATCGAGGACTCACTTCTGCATTGGTTTTGAGATGGACACCATGACCTTATTGTCCACTTTGTTGTCTGTCAGCTGTTGAGAACAGTATCTCTTCTCTGAGCTGGGCAGGAGGGCCTGGGACTGGGCTGCTCCTGAGGAAGGGGCCGAGGAGGAGGAAGAGGTGGAAGATGACGAGGAGGCGGATGAGATGAGATCAGGGAGGTAGTTGAGTTCCTGACTCTTCCCCCCACTGCTGCTGCTCTCGCTGGCACAGTCGGTGCTATCGAGGGGGTCCGAGTCACTGTTCCCCCCTGCCGCTCCCCCGCCGCCACCCCGTGGCTCACCGTGTATCTTGTTCTTGTCAGCTTTGTGCTGTGCCAGTGCAACCTAGAAAGTCCAATATGATCAATATTTAAGTGGATTAAACTTGACTGTTTATCTAAATGCGAAGAAAGCAAAGAAAATGAGGCACAGAGATGCAGCAGCATTCACCTGCGGATCCTGTAATATGATTGGTTCGTTGGGTGCTGAATCCTTAGTCTTGTTCTTTTTGTTCTTACGATTGGTGTTTGGAGTAGTGGCCACAATTCCTCGCTTTTTTCCAAAAACTGTAGTGAAAGTGGTGGAGGTGGCTGAGATACCGATGGTGGTGGTGGTGGTTGCACTGGGAGGTTCAATTGGAACCTCTTTTTCTGAAGAAGAGGACGAATAGAGTTCAAACCAAAGCAAACCATCAAATTCATGATGACAACAATTTCTTTAGCAGTTTTGTGACAAAGAAGCAGAAAAATGGTACCTTCAGCCGAATCCTCCTTTTGCTCAAGCATCTCAGAGGAGTCCTCCTTGGTTTTCTGCCCCTCCTCTTCCTCTTGTTTTCTCTTCTGCTCCTCCTTCTTCTTCTTCCGCTTCTCCTTCCTCTTCTCCCTTTTGGCAGCTAAGGCCTGCTTCTTGCTCTCCTCTCTGGACTGTTGGGCACAAGAGCGCAAAAGCGACAAATAAAAACGTGTTTTCTGGCGTTTTATTTCCAAGGTGCTTTAACATCTCAAGAGTCCAGTAATGACATTACTTTCTCCAAGTCCAACTCCTTGAGGAGGATGCTAGCATTCTTGTTGGCCTCGGCGGCCTGCTGATCTTTTGCTTTGACGATCGTCTCCATACACTGGTGACACCTCTTCAACAGCTCCTGCAAGGAACGACAAAAATCACAGCACTGGTTACATCTGGGTACCTTCCAACTTTGGCAGCGGTGGCTCAGGAGGTAGAGCGGGCAGTCCAGTAAGCTAGCTCATCACCATCAGTATGTGCACTTGTGTGTGAATGGATGAATGATACACTGTGGTGTACAGCGCTCTGGAGTCCTCCGACTCTAAAATGTGCTATACAGGTGTGGGTCATTTATCATTTACAACTTTGCAGACGTAACTAACAGGAAATCAACACCTACCTTGTCAGCAATGGTAGCAATATATCTCATGCACTCGATATCTGATGGAAACTGGTTGACCTCCTTCACAAGATACTGCACCACTTTGACATGGCCCTGAAATGTTTAGTACATGTTTTTAGCCGCAAGAAGCTTCATAAAGACCAGCTGACACCACGTGAGGTTTAACGGTCCACGTACTTTACGAAAAGCAGCCATGAGAGGGGTGATTTTGCGGTTGTCTGCAGCATCCACATCAGCATTGGCGTGCACGAGAAGCTGAACCACATCAAAGTGACCGCCATTTGCTGCAAGCCAAAGGGGAGTATTCCCTTTCTTGTTCCGTACGTCAATATGAGAACCCCTAAATCAGAAAGAAGTGTTACTCTAGGAACATAATGAGGCAGGACACAACCTGAAGAGCCCAATCACACTCCTCACCTGTTAATTAGCAGCTCACAGAACTTGTAGTGGCCTTTATCGGCAGCAATAGTTAGGGCAGTGTCTCGGGATGAAGGAACAGGGGGGGCATTGACATCAGCACTTTTGTCCAGCAGGACTCGGCCCACTTCCGCATAACCCCCCGATGCTGCCTCCATAAGAGGAGTGAGGCCAGTCTGTCTCAACAAGGACCCAGTTAGTCACATGACCAGTAGAAAAAAAAATAATTAGGGATGCACCAAAATGAAAATTCTTGGCCGAAACCAAAAACCAAAAATTGGGAAACCAAGGTTGAAACCCGTGTAGCGTGGGAAAGGCTTTAATGTCAGACTCAGATGTTCATTAGAGATTGAACGGTCCAGCTTCGTCTGCCCGGAGTTCTGTGTGCTTCTTCATACCAAAACAGTCCCGTTTATTTTTTCTAGCCTCGCCATCTGGAAACATCATTACAAGCTGCCTTTCAGTCCTGTTTAGGCCACAAGGTCCTCCTGAAGACGGAACTTCATAACTTTATTAAAAGAACCTTATTTGGTCTCATACAATTAATTCCTCTCTTTACAGGTAAATTATAACAACAGTTACATTCTAAAATGAATGTTTTATCTAAAGTGATTTAATAGTATCTTGACTGCATTACAATAATGAATGGTTCATTTTTTAAATGCCTTATTTCAGATCTTAAATACACCAAATGAGTTTATTTGATGATTTATTAACGATTTATTATCAGTTATATCACATATTAATATCAGTATATTAGCAAATGACAGTTACATCACATTTACTTTACATTTTAAGTGAAATAAGCCTTTTTCTACATTTCTGAGGAAATTAGGTGATATCTGGAGACTCTTGGTAATGCCCAATACATTTTTTGGCATCTAGTTGGTTCAAAATGGGCCTTTAAAAGGTCAGTCACAGGAACTGAAAATCAGTTCAAGCAAGACGCCCAGCCCTTCATGCTAAAGTAACATCTTTTGGTGGATCAAACCAGATCTTTCAATAGAATACTTTTAACTGCAAGAACCAGCCTTTTTCAAAATCTAAATTATTTGCTTAAGCAGCAAAACCCAAGGGGTATCTTTTGGCCGTTCATCCGTATTCTAAAAGGGGCTACGACCTTTTGGATTTCAGAGGTCTAATTCCACTCGACAGCCATGTTGAGCCGTCTTTGCCAGACAGCCAGATCGCAGACAACCCCAGCACAAGGGTAAATCGTAGCTCTTCACTGGCGTCGGATGGTTAAGATTAATTTGATACCTCAATACAATTCTGCCAGATAATTTTATAAACCCGGACATCACATTTTTCTAAAACACTTAATTAGCCTCTTAACATCTAAAATCATATTTCATCAGCGTTTCCTCATTGTCTCAGTTATTACCTTAAATCAGCGGCTGCCTAACTTATTTGGCCGCGACCCCCCTCTATGTCCCGATCGTGTCGACTTTGGATCCACCTGCCTGTCGGCGCATCTGACCACTAGTTGGTCAGATGCTGCGTGCTGTCAGTCCATGCGGGAATGTGCACGGTGATGGAAAACTCGTCTCTTTCTTTCACTACTCCTGCCTTAGCTGAAGGTGCTGTATGTGTGGCGTACTTCACAGCAGCATTTAGAGAGACAGGGTATCTGCAGGTTTAAGGGAGCCAAATTTAAGACTTTTTAAAACCTTTTTAAGGCCACTTTGACCAAATTTAAGCTATTTTTTTAAATTTAATTTCTGCTACAATTTCCAGCTATTGCCTGGGACCGGTGCTAACCACGTCGCGAATGTGGGATTAATCATCCAGCTACCATTAAACTTGCACTTCTCCACAGCATGAGCTCCCACTAGCTTAACCAGCTAATGAGCTCATCTAAAAAAGCCCCCTTTCACAACCAACTGAATGTGTACGGTTCCGCTTACGCCAACATCATACACAAAAAATGCTGAAGACCAACTAGAAATTCACAAAAATGAATAAAATAATCTAGTTTATTGGGTCTTTGGTTATTTAAGACCTTTGGAAACTGTATCCTTTGATGAATAATGGTCACTACAGTGGACAGGTACTCAAAATTGATATTTATTTATTTTTTGCTATTAAGCACAGCTGTTGAAGACTTTATTGCATGTGAGCCCCTCCATTTGGGCTTCAGCAAGTCAAGCCAACATATTTCATGTTCAGATTGCACGCTGTCCACTGAGCTGGACATGTAATAAATTATTTGTAAATTAACAAAATTTTACAAAAAATATTTGTTGAAATTTGTTTCACACCTAAAGATGAATGAAAAAAATTGTTTAAAAAATCATGGTTGAAGATTTCATAATTCATGCATCAAAGGGTTAAGGATTATTTGTAATTTTTAAGGATTTTCAAGGCCTTAAATTTGGAAAAGTAAATTTAAGACTTTTTAAGGACCCGCGGATACCCTGGAGAGAAACCGTCTGTGGCGCGGCGTCAGGACAGGCACGTCTGCTGGGGAGCAGTGGGCAGATATGTATGCGCAAAAACGGGTGAGGCGCATAAATAATCAAGACGTCCTCCTCTACAGGTAGCAGACACGAGGGAGGCATCTTTTTCCACATGAAGGAAAGCCAAACAAACAACTATGAAAAAAACGTATTCCTGCAAGATCACATGGCTTGAGGTGAAGTGACTTCTGGCAGAGTATTTTGCTCCCTCCCCCCATCCTACATGTTTGTCACGTGCGCTAATAGTGACAGACGTAGTGGGAATGTAACAGAAGGGGGAGGAAAAGCCAGGCAGATGCAGTATATGTGAAACTGAAAGTTAAAAATGATATTGATATGAATATTCCAGCAGTCTTCATTATAAAACAGCATTATTAAAAGGGGGGGGGGGCTTAAACTTGAAATCAGTACAAATTTACAATTTTTATGACGCAAAGAGCAAGAAACAAAAATGGGGTTCGGCCGACGGGTTTCGGGCAGAAACCGAAAATGCACGTTTGGGTTATTCTCGGCCGAAAACGTGGCAGAATTTTTGGTGCATCCCTAAACAAAAAAGATCTTTATCCAGCTGAAAACCAACTCCTTACCTTAGCACGGTGCTCCACATTAGCCTTACGATCTAGCAGCAAACTGACGACCTCAGCTCGGCCCTGGAAGCAGGCCAGAGTCAGAGCGGTATTTCTGTTGGTCTCGATCTGGGCGTTGATGTCCGAGCCCATGTCCAACAGCAGCTTCACTGCTGGAACATGACCGTTCATAGCCGCCAGCATCAGAGGAGAGATTCCCAGCTTACTGCCAGTCCTGTGTGACACAATTTACAGAAGAGTAAATACAAATTACAGCTGCATGTTTCTGCCCTTTCCAAAAAGGAAATTTATTTGCGGGAAGAATAATAAACATTTGAAAAACAAGAATAAACACAGGACTGTAAATAACAGGACAGGTGCACAAAGCGGTCACCATTTATTAAGGTACTTTGTTGAAAATTTGATTTGGTATTAAAAAACGATGAATGATAAAATATTTTCTTTTAAATTACCACCTAACCACTGCCTGTTCACGTGACAGGATAAATGAGATTTTTGTTCCAATTCGCCCCTTCCAACTATTTTAAGGACATGCCTGGTTACTGCAATGGCTCTGGTGCAAAATATTTGTAGTTTAACTCGTTCACTGCCATTGACGACTAAAGTCGTCATTTGCATTTTTTTACTGTTTGAGCATCAGAACGAGCCCCTGCGCGTAGAGAACAAACATCTCAGCCCTGAAGCCGATCTTCATCCGCATACGTCACAGATCACATGATCAGGAAGCAACACATCCATGTGATAGGAGATCGTTTTGGGCCGTTCCTGTAAAAAAAAAGTGAGGCGCGAACCGGAAAAGCGTCTGCCGATCACAATTCGACAACGGACTATGAAAGAACGGATAACGCTCAAAACACACGGACTCTTCCTGATGTAAGAGGTGAGTCTCCTCTTTGTTTTGGTTGTTTTGGCGTCGACATCACGCTAGCGTGCAACGTTCTGTGACTCTTAAAAAAACAGTAAAAACGGTGAGAAACGCTGGCAGCAAGTGAGTTAAGACTAGGAGGACTTTAAAAAGGAAACAAATTTATGTGAAATCTGACGGTTTAAACACTTCACACTTTCTAAATTACTTTTTAAAAATAAAAAGAATGTAACAGTAAAACTGAGAAATCAAAGTTGTTTCCTTAAGACCAAACTAGAGAAGCCACACGCTGATCACCTGGAGTTGATCTCAGCTCCAGCGTTGAGGAGAATTTTGATGATGTTGACGTAACCTCCGGACGCAGCCAAGCTGAGAGGCGTGTAGTCTGAAACATTGCGGTGCTCCTTGTTGGCTCCCCGCAACAGCAGCAACTCTACAACCTGTTTAAAACAAGCGATACAAAAGTGAAGCCAAGACAACATTAAAGCACAAGTCTCAGAAAAAATTATTTACCTCCTGACGGCCACCAGAGCAGGCCAGAGAAAGGGGCGTGTCTTTGGTTCTCTCTGACTGAGCTTCAATGTCTCCTCCTTTGTCGAGGAGCACCTCCACCACTCCTACATGACCGGCAGTAGCAGCCAGGATCAAAGGAGTGAACCCTTTTTTATCCCTGTGCTCGATGTTGGCTCCTCGCGCAATCAGGACGGAGACGAGCTCCTCGTGCCCTCCAGCACAGGCGAGGGTCAGAGCTGTGTCATGGTTGCTCTCTGTCTGTGAGGAGAACAGGAAAAAAAAGATGTTTGTGCGTGATCACCTTTATGCTGAGCTACTTTCATATCAACAGGGGTCTGCTCCTTACATGTGCATCTATGTCAACAGAGGGGTAGAGGGGCAAGACAGAAGGCGGGGAGGTGATGTTAGTAGGCGTCTGCATGAGTGGCTGGGGCGTGGCTGCAGTTGTAGTGTTCAGCATGGGAACGCGGCTGCTCACAGCTGCAACACAGAATTAACAGATTGGACCAATCAGATTCTACAAGATGCATCAGTGGTTAGAAATGTGTGCCAGCAGACACAAACATACCTGCCATGATGTCATCCAGTGTGTCTGTGAGCGTCTGTGCAGGCGAGGCTACCATGAGCCCATCTGGGGCCGACTGAGGTATCGTTCCTGGGCCCAACCCAAGGAGCTGCTGGCCCTGCTGCCCCACCAGTACCCTCTGCAGCTCAGGGCTGGTGCTTCCCTGGTAGTCTGTGGCATTGTATTCAGGCAGGGGCTGGATGGGGACAAAGGCAGCCTGGAGAGACGAAGGAGGAGGCTGAGGAGTTGCCTGAGGTGGAGGAGGAAGAGGAGGCTGCTGGGGCCCGTCCCTGTGGAGGATTGTGCCCACCTGAGGAAGCTTGTGATAATCGTCTTCTTCTTTATCTGCGTCTTCATCAGAGCCCTCTTCTTCGTCATCCTCATCCTCATCCTCTTCCTGAAAACAAACAGGAAGCACTTTAAGTGTTTGGGATATTTAAGAATTAGGACTTACAGAAACAGAAACATGGTGACTAGATCATACCTCTTCCTCTTCTCCTGGTTGCTCCTCTTGCTCCTCGTCTTTGCTGGCCTCTTTAATCGTCTCAGAGCCAGTAAGTACTTGACCACCCGATGTTATTGGCCGAGGTCCCGGAACCGTAGTACTCCCAGGACCTGGACCCGGACCTTGGCTCTGCCCCGCCTCCTGGTCTTCTTTTAAGCCCTTTGCCTCCATGTACTCTTTGGTGAACTGTTGCTGTGTTTTTAACTGCAGCTGGCGCTCCACCTTCTGCAGCTCTTTCAAAATTTTCTTCTTCTTCTGCACCTAAAAGAGACAATAGCCTCATCCTTAGGTATTTAATACAGATTTAAGTTCTCAAAAAAGCTGAAAGGGAAAATTATCTCGTGAGAAAGAATCGTAAGTGGCTGAAGAATCACACCTGCTCTTCTCGACTCTTTTTCAGTTCTTCAATCTTGTCTTTGGTAAGCGGCTCGCCCTGAATGAGCTCTAGCGACTGTAGCTGAGCTTTCTCGATGTCGCTTATTCTCTGGCCCAGCTCGTTCAGCTTCCCCTCCGTCTCCTCCACTATGCACTCTAAAGGCTGGCACATGTGGAAGGGTGGCAGAGGCTCAGCTTCAGGGCTCCAACCAACAACACTGGGGCCGCCGGGCTGAAGGGCCGACTGTCTTTGTTTGGACGCACCTCAATCAGAAACAAAAAGGATCGAGGTAAATGCACAATATAATACCAGCTGTGCCGGGATCTCACCGGGCTGAGACTGTTGTCAACAACATACTAATGGCATTCGGGAGGAAATATCCAAAATGTCTCAAAATTATTGCTAAGATCTTCATTTTCCTCACGTTGCCTGAAGTTTCACGATAATAGTGCCATTCTACAGCAGCTAAAAATAGGTTGCGACGTATTGTCACAATGCATTGTGTGATGCAACCCTAGACAAACGTGTTTTTTGCGTGAGTGCCTATGGGTCTGAGTTGCTCTGCTCATCTCAAAGTTGTAGTTTCGTCTCCTAAAGGTGTTCAAATGGGGAGGAACCGCGCACCGCTGTTGGGGGAGGTGATAATTGGACTTAAGGTACCCATGTTGGATGTCAGAGGGTACAATTAGTCTTTTTTCCAAAACTGTATACGGTTCATAACAACATGAAACAGCTGAAAGGGGAAACAGATCCAACTAAGGGCAAAGCAAAGAAGCGGTATTATTTATGTGGAAAAGTGATTTTCACAGTGTGGAGCAGAAAATGGACAAACAAAGCGCTGTACAACCAATAAAATGTACCACAATAGGACAGACATATAACCATTTAAAATACAATAAGAAATCCGTTTAAAATACCATACAAAATCCTGAGTGCAAGTTCGCAATCCATATCCGGCCTACTTCCCCCAACATCAATGTCCAAACGCCAGCGAGAACAGATGTGTTTCTAGTCTGCATTTAAAGGTTTCCAATGATTTGGCCTACTTTACATCAGCTGGCAACTCATTCCAGAGACTTGGTCCAAGTACTGAAAAGGCACGACTCCCACGAGACGTCAGGCTGTACCTGGGCACAGTTATGGGCCATTCCCACATGTACCGGGTCGGCCCGGGCCGGGTAGCGTAGGTTGTTTACATATCTGGGTGGCCTGGTATTTTTCCGGGCCAACCAAGGCTCATTCTCAGCCCTCTTCTCGAGGGGGTCTGCTTCAGGCCGACCAGGGCCAACACACCCACTGCTGACAGCAAATTCACACCTTCCATTAGAGCAAGCCTCTGATTGGTGGGTAGAATCAGCCCACATGGGCTTAAGGCAAGGATGTGTGGAATCAACCGGGCCAGGCTGGGGCCGACTGGGGCTACCCGGCCCGGGCCGACCCGGTACAGATGGGAATGGCCCATTAGTAGTCTCTGGTCAGCTGACCTAAGGGAACGCACCGGGACATGTTGGTGGATGATTTCAGAGAGATAGTTAGGTGCCCCTGAGTTTAACGCCTTAAACACAAACAGGATGACCTTAAACCTGATGCGATAAAAGACAGGGAGCCAAAGCAAGGCACGTAGGACTGGTGTAATATGTTCAGACCTCCTGGTACATGTTAACAACCACGCAGCCGAGTTCTGAACCGCCTGGAGTCGTGCTATTGGAGCTTGCCTAAGCCTCGCATAAAACGAGTTGCAATAATCCAGCCTGCAGGTAACAAAGGCATGGATTACAGTTTCCAAATGACTGTGTGACAGAAAAGGCTTAATTTTCGCTCTGCGGCGTAGAAGAAAAAAGCAAGATCTCACGATTCCGTTCACTTGAGCATCAAATCTGAGCTCTGCTTCCAGTTTTACCCCTAAGTTAGTGACCACCGCCTTCTGATGCGGTGCCAGAGTGGAAAAATCAGGCACTGGTGGGGATGAGCTACGATGTAGCCACAGCTGCCTTGGGGCGCTCCGACAGAGGCGAGGCTGCCGAGCACAGGCGCCACCAGTCCCTCCAACCACCACAAGCGGGCAAGGTGAGTTAAGTGTCTTGCCCAAGGACACAACGACAGCGACAGGCTGAGCGGGGCTCGAACCTGCAACCTTCCCATTACAGGGCGAGCACTTAACTCCTGTGCCACCGTCGCCCACATAAATGACCCACCACTTGTATAGCACCTTTTAGAGTCAGATGACTCTAAAGCGCTTTACACTACAGTGTATCATTCATCCACTCACGCACACATTCACACACTGATGGTGATGAGCTGTAGCCACAGCTGCCCTGGGGCACACTGACAGAGGCGAGGCTTTTGAGCACAGGTGCAGACGGGGTTACGTGTCTTGCCCAAGGACACAACAGCAGCATTCGCCGTTAGGAGTCGGGGTTGAACCTACAACCTTCCAACTACTCAACAATCCGCTCTACCTCCTGAGCTACTGCTGCCCATATGACAAGCCGATAATAGCAACGCTCTCAGAAGTTTGCGTTATCCATCTGAGTAAATGAATGGGTCTAGCTGAACATCTCGACCTAACAGCATCCAAATGTGGATGAAAAAGCCTTTTGACCAGAGATGGGTGGTATGTAAAAGGTAGCAACACATAACAGAGGCTAGTCAAGGGTATTGTAATGAAATGTAACTCCTTTTCAAGAGTTTTTAAGACCTTCTAAAATAAAATTGACTTTATCGCAATGAACTAATTAACTATTAAACACTCACATATTCTTTTTAAATACAGCATTGCAGGACAGCAATGCTGTAGTAATGGTAAGTAAAGCCATGTGGTGCAGAAAGACAAGCAAACAGCTGGCATAAAGAACACAATATGATTTTATTAGTTTATTTTTCATACCAGCAAACTCAGAGGGTGTGAAAAAGTTGACAACTACACCCCTGAGAGGTTTCGTCACACTTGCACGTCCGCTGTGACGTTAATTGTAGAATACGCGGTTTAAAAAATTAATTTCTTCCATAACAATTCCAGAGTTGTCACTGCACTGGTCTGGATCGCTTTTCGTGTTAAATTTTTCGAGTCATGAAGTGTGAGAAATATGAGACAACTTGCAGAGGAGTTGGTGACCAAAACTAAAAAGAGAACTAAATGCATACTCGACATTAGCTAAAAATAGATCATGATGCAGAGCTGGACGACATAAAAAAATATATCAATAAATTACTTCATATTGATCAATATCAATAATTATTGATAACAATAAAAATGTAGCTAATATATTTTAGGTGCAGCCCTGACCATTTTGTGTCATTACTTAATGGTAAAGCACGTTGGTTTTGTCATTAGTAGTATTGTCCATCATCCACCTGAGATGGACTTGGTTTTTATTGATTCTCTACAAATTTTCCTAACTATAGTTGTTTGTTTATTCTCAGACTTGTAAAAAAACAAAATATTGCCACACTGGTAAACTACTGTAATGTTTGTTTCAGGACAATTTCCTTCGCCTCTCCTTGCTGCAACATCTCAAATCGCATGTTGTCTGTTTAAACGGGTGGGCTTGGTGTCAGAGCATGCTTGGGTCTGTGATTTTGATTGGTTCAGATTAAGTAATGACTCTAGTATTAAACTACACGAAAAGCTATAATGAAAAAAGAAATTTTTTTTATTGAACCCATTTTTGACAAGTTTATCAATAGATATATATTGTTATTGAATTATTGTCCAACCCTATCATGATGCTTTCTGGGATGTAGCCCTACACAAACAAATGTGCATTTTGCATGAGTGCCTATGAGTCGGAGTCGTTTTACTTTTCTCAAAGTTGTAGTTTCGTCTCAAGGATGATCAAATAGGAAGGAACATTGCACCGCTGCTGAGGGTTTTGCAAATCTGACTCTATACCCATATTGGATGCCTTTTTTTAATCCATTCTCCAAAGCTGGGTAAGGTCTGTAACAATATGAAACGGCTAGTAAGGCAACGGGGCCAAGCTAAAGACAGACAAAGCAAAGCAGTGGCAGTACTGATATGAAAGAGCTAATTTTCACAATGAGAAGCAGATAAAGGGGAGAACATGTATCTGTTGCATACATTTTGTCAGTGGGAAAGGTCCTACGACAGAGAATGACGAGCCGATACTAGCAACGCTCACAGATGCGGAGTTCTCCAGAAGGCAGCGGTGTAAAAGGAGAAGTCCAACTGAGCATCTCGACCAAACAGTATCCAAAGGTGGATGAGAAAAGCTTTTGACCAGAGGTGGGTGGTATGTAAAATGTAGCGACACAAATAATTGCATAAGAGTAAAAAATATGTTTTTAAAAAGCACTTAGAGAAATATTTTTTGAGCACTGTGAGTAACGAGCAACTAATTGAGCATAAACGTTAAAAAAAATTTCTGTTGATTTGGTTTATCGACAGAGAGCTTGTTTTAACACAAGCGTTCTGTGTTTGTTTTCACTGGAAAATGCAGTTTGTTTAGAATTAGCACACAGCAGCCCCTCCACGGTGACTTCAACTATGCCATTAGACACTTGTAACTAAACAGCAGCCAGTTCAGTGTGATTCCAACTAGAAACTTGTGATTCCATTAGTAAAAGCTAGATTTATAAACATACTAATTAAGAGACATAGCCAGTTTACCTATGCTGGAGACAGGTGGGGGTGTGGCGATGATGTTTGATGGGGCTCTGTCAGGTTCTTGAGGGGGCACTACCATAGCAAGAGCTTGGAATGGGACACGAGGGACCTGTAATAACAGAAGGTACGTTAGGTGGAAGGAAATAAAAATGGATACCTTTTACTAAAAGCATATGATCTTTTTATTAAATCGTCTACCTGAGATGGATCTTGTGATGGAGGTGTGAGCTGGGAAAGGTCAGGGGCCGGAACAGACAGGATGTTGTTGGGGTAGTCCAACAAGTAAGACACCACATTAGTGTGGCCACCTTTAGCAGCTTCTATCAACATGGTAGACCCGTCCTACAGAGAGAAAACGTCATTTAGCTTTCATCACACAAACAGAAATGCACATAAAGCGTTAAACGGAGAAGGGTGTCGAGTACTTTGAGTCTGTGTGTAGGATCTGCCCCATGTGCCAACAACAACTCCACGACAGCCAGATGCCCCCCAGCACAAGCCAGGGACACCACAGTGTGATCGTTATTGGCAGTAGCTCTGTTCACATTAGCACCTAAAAGCAAAAGTACAAACAGAAACATGAAAACATAGTTGTATTCTGTAAAAGATTCAGTTGAAATCGTAATTACAGTCAATCGCCAACAGGCAGTGAAGGTGTTCACAACAGTGACCAAAACTCTGCTGTCCTTCATCACTGAAGGAATAAGCAGATAACTGCCTTAGAAAGAACGCACGCACACACACAATCTTGTATCTCTATCCATATTAGGACTTTTTATTGACTTCCATTCATTTTAATAACTGCATTTATGCCTAACCCAAACCCTAACCATGATCAGCGTATTCCTAAATTTAACTGCAACAAAAACTCTATTCACACCTTATGTGTAAACCTCAGCCCTAAGCCTGAAACAGAGAGTCCACCGTATTAGGACCAGGTTTAGGTCCTAACACGGACCCTCCGTCTTCAGAAGTATGGTGAATATGCCATTTCTGGTCCTAAGTAGGATAGCTGAACAAGTACAAACACAGACACATGCACACACCATTTTTATATTTGATGTCTGAGCGGGAAACACACCTTTGCTGATGAGGAACTGGACAGTACAAAGATGTCCGGCCCTCGCTGCCTTCATCAGGGGTGTCCTACCGCCTTCAGACTCATGCTCCTGGAGAACAAACACACATGCGCCTTCATAGCAAAAGTCACACAAAACTTTTAACATTTAAAAAGGTTGTCATTTTTCAAGCCATTTCTCCACATAATCTACCTTAACTATCCAACATCAACACACACAAAGAAAGAGACTGAGGGGATCTAAAGTATACCAAATTGGCGCCAGCCTGCAGCAGCAAATCCGCCACATCGGTGTGTCCGTTCTCACACGCGTAAGTCAGCGCTGTGTCACCCGTTGCTGTAGTGGCGTGAACGTTTGCTCCTGGAAAGGAGATCAAGCCAGTTCCAGTTAAGTGCCTAGACAGGCTTTCCTATGGCAGCTAGTTTTCTCCAGTGCTCACCTGCAGTCAGTAGGTATCTGACCAAATCCAGATGGCCTTCCTGTGCAGCCTCCATTAGAGGAGTGGAGCAGCCTAACTCGATGTCAGCCCCTGCCTTAATCAGGAAGTCGGCCACTTCTAGGAAGCCTCCACAACATGCCAGTGTCAAAGCCGTCTCCTGGGTCTCCTCTGTCTGGGCATTGATGTTCGCACCTGGAGAACAGGACAAAAAATGTTAGCAGCTCATGAATGGGTTTAATCACTTAAAACATAATGTAAACACATCAACACATGTTCAAACCCAACTCTATTCTACAACTCCTACTCAAAGATTTTATTCCACAAATCAGTGTTGTTTTCATCAACGATAACATAATAATTTCGTTGATGCCCCTTTTCTCATAAAAAAATAAAATGAGACGCTGACGAGCTAAAAATTACGATTTGGTGACAAAACATGACGAGACATGCGTGCGTTTTAATTGACGAGGCAAAAATTTGGCTCAAAATGCACATTTTTGCCAGTCTTACTAAAGCTAAAAGTAATAGTGCTGCAGCTGTGTTCCATGTGTCCCACTGGCATGCAGCGGCAGTGCATATTCTGCTTAACACAGCCATGCTGTGACACCAAGTTGGAGGCCTGATAACTCAAATAATAATTAAATGAAAGGGGTGGTACACTCATTTAATCAATACAATTGTAGTAGTAGGAATGAATGCCTTGTAAGTCATAATCTGGGTACAAAAAGCCCTGGTGCATCTGTTTCAGGTTCTAGACGATTGTCAGAGAGCTTCAGAAAGCAGGACTTGAAGGTTTATTTCCTGAGATTTGGACATCTCACCTCTGATTGGCTAACTCTACCACTGACTGTTTACTTTCCAACACTGATGTTTTATCTCCACAAATAACACAAGCCTGATGACGTTTTGCTGTGTAGTGGAGTTGCTAGTGATAATAGTTAACTTCTACTAGGCCAAGAGGTTCTTCACTCTTTTCTGGATGCTAAACCAACAACAGCCTTTCCCGTCTTCAGTCAAGATGGGTGAGTCCATGAATGTTAAGTGGCAGTGTGACGTAGATCTGTCAGGCTTTTCAAATCCTAGAGTTTCACCATCTATTTTCTATCGGAAGCTAATGCAGGAGATAGGTTTAGGAGACTCATTTACATGTTCTGCCTGCATGAAAAACCCAGAGTGATGATTATAATCAGAAATAACCATTAAAAACGAGTTTTCAGTGAACCACACCTTTAAACAAACTATTTTTAATTTTTATTTAAATATTGTGTAGAATACTCTGTATGTTCCCCAAGTGTCCACTCTGTTAAGCATAGAAATCTACAATTTTCTGTTGTGAAAATCTACTGAATGATGCAAAAATCTGTATCAATAAATTCATTATATACAGTATGTTGATTATCAATAAAGTAGAAAATGATGCCACTATTTTGGGGATTTTGTTAACTCTCTGAATCCTGCTGGTTCGTCTTTGAATACGACGCCCCCAGGCTTTTAATAGAAGTATTTTCTTCAGTTGGTCCTTGGGTTCCATTTTTGGGTCATTATTTTGCTGTAGGATGAACCCCTGACCAACTAGCTGCATACCAGACGTTACTGCATGGTGCTGGGGAATGCTATGGTAGCTGTTTTGGTTCAGAGTGCCTCTCATTCTGTACAAGTCACCAACCCTGGATCCAACAAAATAGCCCAAGACCATCACACTTCCTCCTCCATGTTTGACACACACTGTGGAACCATCCTTTCACCTACTCGATGGCATGCTAAGATCCTGCGTGATGAACCGAAGATTTCTAATTTGGATTCATCAGTCCATAATACCTTCTTCCAGTCTTCAGTAGTCCAATGGCAGTGTTTCACAGCCCAGGCAAATCTCTTTATCTTATTTTGACGTGTTAGCAGTAGCTTTCTTGCTGCAACTTGTCCTGTCAAACCTGCAACTTGGTCTTTTCTTCACAGTTGAAACTGGGACTTGCTTACTACGACCACTAATAAGCTGTGCTTGAAGCTGTTGTCCTGTGAGCCGCCTATCATGCAAGCTGTTAACTCTCAGAAACTTGTCCTCTGATGCAGTTGTGGCTTTGGGTCTGCCAGACCTCTTCCTGTCAGAGTTTGTCCCAGTTTCTGAGTGCCTTTCGATGGTGAAGGAAACTCTACTCACTGACACCTTGACTTTCTTTGCAATTTCTCTGTAGGAAAGACTCACATTTTTAAGTTTTATGATGGTCTGTCTCTTCCATTGTTAATTGCCTTTTTCTCGCCATTTTTGTAGCAACACACTATTATCTGCAGGACAACTGATGCTCACGAGGGTATGGTACCACAGTATCGTTGGTGTGTTCATACTGTGTTTAGTTTCCAATTCCATTTTTGGTTCTTTTTAAAACACAGGAAAGGTTTTTCTTTACCCTGCTAACATTTCGTTTGCCAACTGCAAAACATCCACAGAGCTGACGCTGATGGTGGCGTCACTTCCTACTCTGTTTATCCGCGGGCAGCAGAGGACGTTGTCGCCCTCTGCTGCCCGCTCTCCCCTCTCCGATGATGCAGTCCCATGCACAATCCAATGTGTAGACCCCATTGTCTCTGTTCATAGTCTTGCATCCACGTCTTCTTATCTCTATAGCTTCTTTTATCCATCTTTTGTATTTGTTGTTTGGTGTTTATGATCCTTGTGTTGTTCCAGTCCATTATATGGTTTTCTCTCGTGCAGTGATCTCTTACGGCTGACTTCTTTATTGTGCTTTCTGTTTATTTTGCTGCTCTTGTGTGTTTTCGACTTGTTTCTTTCTCACACTCCTTTCTATGTTCTATTTTTCGTGTGTTGAGTTGGCGTCCGGTTTCTCCTATGTATGTTTTATTGCAGCGTTTGCATGGGATTTTGTAAATGACTCCACATTTAAGTCCAGCTGGTATCTTGTCTTTTGGGTGCACTAGTCTGTTTCTAACTGTTGTGTATGGTTTTGTTGGTGTGTTTATGTTGTGTTTTTTCATTGTTGCTCTTATTTTTTCTGTTATGCCTTTGATGTATGGTAAGGTCACTGGTTTTGGTTCTTGTCTTTCTGGGTTTCTGGTTCCTTGCTTAGGTTGTTCTTTTCTTTCGGTTGTTGTTTTTTGTTTTCCTTCGTTTCATTTGATATCCATTGTGGTGGTGAATAGAGCCAAAAATGTTAGCATTGTGTCGATGTCCCAATATTTATGGACCTGACTGTATGTCTATGGTTTTTTGGGTTGGTGTTTTTGTGAACAAGGATGTGACGTCATGTGAGATGAGTATGTCGTTATTTTCTATTGTAGTCTTTTTTAGTTCTTTTGCCAGTTCTATACTATTTTTGCAGTGTTGATCTGTGTTACCTAATAACGGGCTTAAGATTTTGCTGATTTCTTTTGCCATGCTAAATGTTGATGTACCTATGCTGTCTACTATTGGTCTAAGTGGGGTGTATTGTTTGTGTATTTTTGGAGTTCCATAGATTATTGGTATTATGTTTGCTGTAGGAATCCAGTGTTTGCACATTTTTTCTGTTATTTTGCCTTTTTCTTGTAGTGGCTTCAGTAATTTTTCCATGTTTTCTTAATGCTTTCCACAGTATGTTTCAACACTGTTTTTATGCAGACAGAGGGGGTTGTAAGTAATCCAGAAAAGTTGGAACAACTGTGGGAATTAGTAGCACCAGCTTTCAAGGCTTGATCAACCTCCATTGCTGCAGAACAACTGTGTTCCCTGAAACAGTCCTTTTTATATAATTCTGAAATGTACATTATTTTTTTGTTTTGAGTAAGCTTACCCTTTTTTTAACCTCTGGCAGTTCACCTCTTAACTTTGTTCCATTTCAAGCTATTCATTAGCTTGAATGACAAACTGCAATAAAAAACTTGGGGCGTTCTAAAACTTTTGACTGGTAGTGTATACAGGGTATCTGCAGGTTTAAGGGTGCCAAATTTAAGACTTTTTAAGACCTTTTTTAAGGCCACTTTGACCAAATTTAAGCTATTTTTAAACTAAATTTAAGCTATAATTTCCAGCTATTGCCAGGAACCGGTGCTAACCACGTCGCAAACGTGGGATTAGCCATCCAGTAGCCATTAAACTTGCACTTCCCCATGGCGCAAGCTCCCACTAGCTTAACCAGCTAATGTGCTCATCTAAAAATAGCCCCCTTTCGCAACCAACTGAACGTGTACGGTTCCGCTTACGCCAACATCACACACAAAAAATGCTGAACACCAACTAGAAATTCACGAAAATGACAAAAATAAAAGAATCTTGTTTATTGGGTCTTTGGTAATTTAAGACCTTTGGAAACTGTATTTAAGGATTATTTGTCATTTTTAAGGAGTTTTAAGGCCTTAAATTTGGAAAAGCAAATTTAAGACTTTTTAAGGACCTGCGGATACCCTGGTATATGTGTGAACTACAAATGAATTTGTTAAATACTCCATGGAATTTTTTGTAAAACTAAAAACAAATCTTTTGTCATCTTAAGTTTTTTTTTTTTGCTTTAGTCGACTAAAACTAAAATGCATTTTCATCCAAAAGACAAACTATAACTAAGGTGGCTGCCAAAAACAACACCGTCTCAAATGTGAGTAGAAAGCTTTCCCACCTTGAGCGAGCAGCAGCGCTACCATCTCCTCGTGGCCTTCTCTTGCTGCCTCCATCAGGGGAGTATAACCCTCATCATTAACCTGGACACAGACAGTGTGAGGATGAATCAAGACAAAACGACCCTGTGGTGTGGAAAGGTGTTTGATTTGTGCCTGTTTTACACAGAATGAGGATAAACATTTTCCTGTCACTTCAGTAATTTTTAAACCATTATCAGAAATAAATCCAAGCAGCTATTATTCTGGTCTTTCACTCAGTGCAAAGCCGGGCGAACGCTGTGCACCTTTTTCACATCTCAAACCATAAGACTTCCTCACAGAGCAAAGCTCACAAGTCATGTTCTCATACTGTGCGTGTGGCAGCAACACGTTCCGAGTCTGAAAACCCAGAAGATCCAAGACTGCTATGCTGTTATTAGGGCTGGGTGACATGGCCTAAAATCAATATCACGATATATTGAGGATTTCACCTCGACAACGATAAATGGACGATAACTACAGGTATGCGCAGAAACAAAAGTTGTCTACTAGAAGGGGTTGTCACATGTATTACGTTGAGCCACATTTTTATGTGACTCAAAGGTGGTACAGCTTCTTAAAGGGACATTAATGTTGCCAAACTACACACATCTTTTCATTTTTTTAGTATCAAATTTATTGACGTGGGAAAAATCTCGATAAAAGTCGGAAATTTCGATAACAATATATTTTCGATTTATTGCCCAGCCCTAGCTGTTATTGATGTCTATTGTCTGTCAGGCTTACCATAGTTGTAGGACACACAGGAATTTATGGGGGTTGGAGGAAGAAGACAAAGGAAAGGAAGTAAACTGATGTCTTTGGGAACCAATTTACTTGACATAAACAGGGCAAAGACGCTTTCTTGACAACCCTTGTCATTATGTGCAGAGAAAAGAGAAAAAAAATCAAAAGAAGTGATGTGTGTGGACACGGAAATAGTTGGCCAGCCATACTGATGCATGCACTGTGAGCAGTTCTGGTACATGGGGCAGCAGTAGCTCAGGGGGTAGAGCGGGTTGCCTCGTGATCGGAAGGTCGCGAGCTGGATTCCAGCTCCCGCCAGGGGTATTCTGCTGCTGTGTCCTTGGGCAAGACACTTCACCCAACTTGCCTGTGTTGGTCCTTGGGGCCGAGGTCAGAGGGGCCGACGACGCCAAATGGCAGCCTCACCTCAGTCAAACCGCCCCAGGGTGGCTGTGGCTACAAAGTAGCTTACCATCACTGGCAGTGTGTGAATGTGAGAGTGCACGAAAGCGTCTTTGAGTGTCCTAAAAAGTGCTATATACGTTCAATGTAAAAAAATTAGTTTGGGTTGAAAAGCTGTTTAAACAGTGCGGACAACCAAAATATCAAACATGTTTCATATTTGTACTACCGCACAAATGTTGAGCAGAAGCTGGTTGTGAGAAGTTAATCACTTCTCGTTACCCTCTGTATAGTACATAACCCAAAACTCACCTCAACCTCAATGACTCTTGCACAGAAGCTCAAAACAGGCCAAACATTGCACAGTGTACACCCGGCTTTATTTGAGTGCCCAAAACTAAACTATCTTTAGTAAATGGAAAATTAGTTACAAGTCAATACAATAAAAGCATTCTACCACAACACAAACACACTTAATTCAAAAGTCAAGTTTACTCATATTTTTAGTAAATTTGCTGCAAGTTATTCTCTGGGTAGAAAAAGTTCAGACATTCCTGTTTGAGGAACTTGGGAGTCAGCTGGAGGATAAGTAACTTCAGAGAACTGGATTGGAGTCTACTACTAACTCCATTTGCTCTGCAACGTTGATGTTTTATCTCAGCAAATTTAACACAAGCCTGAAGGAGTTCTGCCATTTCGTGGAACTGCTAATGCTAACGATTTACTTCTACTAACCCGAGACGTTCTCTGTTGTTTGCTGAACACTAAACCAACAACAGCCTTCCCTGTCAGGAGTCAACATGGGCAAGTCCATGAATGTTAAGTGACAGTGTGACATATCTGTCAGACTTTAATGAACAGAACGCGATTCTGTCTATCAGAAGCCCGCATGTTAAGAGTGACTGATCACTGTCAGAATTAACAAGTACAAAATGGTTTCTCAGTGAACCTGCTCTTTAAATCATAACTCACAACTTCAGTTCAAGAAAATCAACTAAGACAAGGTCTCACATGACTTTAATTCATCAAATTGGTGCACGAATGCTGTCTCTCTTTACCTCCTCCAAATTGGCGCCTCTTTCTATGAGTAAGGCAGCCAGCTCCACGTGACCTCCACAGGCAGCAAGGGTGAGGGGTGACTCAAAGGAGTCCGCTGGCATGTTGACTTGTGCACCGCTGTCCAACAGCAGTCGCGCCACTTCCACATGGCCGTCCTGGGACAGCGAGACACAGAAAACATAGAGATAAGCACCTGAATAAGAACTCGGGAGTGGGCATAGGTTATTTTATTAATCTAGATTAATCTCACTGTAATCTTGGAATTAATCTAGATTAAAATGGCTAATTTGAATTATGTCATTGCTACCTAAATCATGACCAAAAGGAAGCCTTTGAGAAGAGGTTTCCCAAGCCAGGCGGCGCATCAGAACAGGGGCTTATCTCCTGTTTTCAAAATGCATCACAAGCTGAGAAATCATTAACTAAAAATACTTCTAAAAACTATATAATGTTATTTAAATAATATTTCACATTCAAAGAGCTGATCTGTGGGTCTGACGACTGCGCAGCACAGAGAAGATTCAGACTCATTTTTTATTCCTGAGCCCTGTTGTCGCCTATTATTAAAATGGGAGAATCAGCTGAAACAGGGGATCTGTGCTGGCAAGGTACGAAGAGGCTTCCGGGGGAGGGGGGGTATATTGCCTTGGCCCAAAAACGCCATGATACGGCTCAGAGTGTTGGACTGAGTTTTAAAAGTGAATTGTATCATGTATACAGTGCATCCGGAAAGTATTCATAGCACTTCACTTATTCCAATTTTTTGTTTATGTCACAGCCTCATTTCAAAATGGATTAAATTCATTTTGCCCATAAAATTCAACACACAACACCCCATAATGATAATGTGCAAAAAGTGTCTTTGAAGTTGTTGCAAATTTATTAAAAATAAAAAACTTGAGAAATCGCATGAACATAAATATTCACAGCTTTTGACGTGAAGCTCAGAATTGAGCTGAGGTGCATTCTGTTTCCACTGATCATCCATGAGGTGTTTCAGCAGATTAACTGGAGTCCACCTGTGGTAAATTAGGTTGATTGGACATGATTTGGAAAGGCACACACCTGTCTATATAAGGCCCCTGTGTTGACGGTCCATGTCAAAGCACAAACCAAGCATGAAGACAAAGGAACTGAGTGTAGACCTCCGAGACAGGATTGTCTTGAGGTACAAGGCTGGGGAAGGTTACAGAAAAAATTCTGCTGCTTTAAAGGTGCCTATGAGCAGAGTGGCCTCCATCATCCGTAAGTGGAACAAGTTTGGAACCACCAAGACTCTTCCTAGAGCTGGCCGGCCTTCTAAGCTGAGTGAACGGGGGAGAAGGGCCTTGGTCAGGGAGGTGACCAATAACCCAATGGTCACTTTGTCAGAGCTCCAGTGGCCCTCTGTGGAGAGAGGAGAACCTTCCAGAAGGACAACCATCTCTGCACCAATCCACCAATCAGGCCTGTATGGTAGAGTGGCCAGACGGAAGCCTCTCCTTAGTAAAAGGCACATGGCAGCCCGCCTGGAGTTGGCTAAAAGGCACCTTAGGGACTCAGACCATGAGAAACAAAATCCTCTGGTCTGATGAGAGTGAATGCCAGGCGTTATGTTTGGAGAAAATCAGGCACCGCTCATCACCAGGCCAATACCATCCCTACAGTGAAGCATGGTAGTGGCAGCGTCATGCTGTGGGGATGTTTTTCAGTGGCAGGAACTGGGAGACTAGTCAGGATAGAGAGAAAGATGACTGCAGCAATGTACAGAGACATCCTGGATGAAAACCTGCTCCAAAGCACTCTTGACCTCAGACTGGGGCGACGGTTCACCTTTCGGTAGGACAATGACCCTAAGCACACAGCCAAAATATCAAAGGAATGGCTACAGAACAACTCAGTGACTGTCCTTGAGTGGCCCAGCCAGAGCCCAGACCTGAACCTCATTGAAGATCTCTGGAGAGATCTGAAAATGACTGTGCACCAACGCTTTCCATCCAGCCTAATGGAGATCGGGAGGTACTGCAAAGAGGAATGGGCAAAACTGCCTAAAGATAGGTGTGGCAAGCCTGTGGCATCATATTCAAAATGACTTGAGGCTGTAATTGCTACCAAAGGTGCATCTACAAAGTACAGAGTAAAGGCTGTGAATACTTATGTTCATATGATTTCTCAAGTTTTTTATTTTTAATAAATTTGCAACAACTTCAAAGCCACTTTTTTCACATTATCATTACGGGTTGTTGTGTGTTGAATTTTATGGGCAAAATGAATTTAATCCATTTTGGAATGAGGCTGTAACATAAACAAAAAAGTGGAATAAGTGAAGCGCTATGAATACTTTCCGAATGCACTGTATAAATATTACATGCTTGTAAAAGATTGCTTTATAAAGGTAAAACGTGTGGTGGGATAAATCTACCTACATTTTCCTTTTCAAGCTCTTTGTTTTGTTTTCTTGTTCTTTACGTGACCATTTTCCTGCAACCTGTCTCCAGCTTATCCTCCTGCACCTCCTCTAAGTCCTAAAGAAAAACTGTTGCCTGACTTTCTACTTTTTCACCTCATGAGTTATTTTAACTAAGCAGATCAAAGGCATCTACCCACCGCAAAACAGCGGAGCGCGCGCACGGCTGCGCCAGTCAGGTGAAGTCACCGGACCACGGGTGATGATTTCTGCCGCAGTGGAGCGCGTCAGGCATGAATAAAAGACAGAACGTACCAGAGATAATATGAGCGGACATGAACGATCGTGTGTTAATTATATTTTTATGGTGGCACCATTTTGAGAATGTTACTCTGGCCGTGCGCAGGTCTGGAGCTGGGGATGTACGTAGTTAACCGGTTAATTGCCGTTAATGTTGTAACAGGGTAAACTATTTTTCCCGGTTAACTGCTGAAGTCTTCTGCAGTGCTGAGTGCAATATATTTTGTGCCACCAGAAGGCGGAAGAGAGCCGCTATCAAATATGTTTACTGGGCGACCGCAGAAGAAGAAATAAGCTCGTCACATGACCTAACAAATGTGCTCAAGCGGGAAGCGGTTAACAAGGCAGCGCAGGAGCAGATTTAGTTATTTAATTCTTGGAACACAATCGGCCTCACATCAAAGCGCTGAGCCTGGCAGAACGCGGTGCAGCAAACTGAACAGAGACCAGCAAAATGTCAGTGTGCTGTGACGCTGCTTGTGTCGAACTTCTAATTTGTCTTGTAAAATAAAGAAATGTCAAATGTAATTATTTAGTTCAATGTAAGAAATCTGTCGTTTCTTTTTTTTTTTTTAACTGTGGCCTCCAGAATGTACTTATAAGCCCGTAATCGCAAGTAGCGCTGTGTATTTGATGCCAAACGGTCAGCTGCGCAACAAGTTCTGAGTCTGATGGACATTCCAGCTGTCATCCCACTCTCTCTTTACTTTTTCCTCAGTGTGGGTCTTTGGTTGTGCGTCAGAATTATAGTAGCTGGAAAAAGCGTACTATGCATAGAGCAGGGGTAAATGTTTGTGTCTGTTGGGGTGGGGGTTGTTTTTCAGTTAACCAGCTATTAACCATTAAGCGGCGTCAATAGCCGGTTAAAGAAATTTTGGTAAACGTGCATCCCTATCTGGAGCGCATCGCCGCATCAACAATCAACGCTCAGCGTCCTCTCCACTCAAAAGAATCCCTGGTACACTGAGAGTCCATATAATTAATGTAATATGCGTAGAAACTATACGTATTATTTTTTGAGGGCTCCTCCTGGATGTGTAAGTTGAGGGATAGTGGAGTCTTTCACCCTTTCGGGTGAGCCGGCTCACTGTCGTTATCCGATCCCTACATGCTGGGTTAACCCCCGCAATTCATCTGCGTATTTCCACTTGAATAGATTTTTATTTTACTTCCACAAAAGGCAAATTTTAGATTTCATATTACAGAAAACAGAATGGTGTGTACATCAGCGCTAGAATATCGCTGTGAAAGTCACCATAGCTTACTTACCCCCAAATTCCACTACCTACGCTCCGCTCCGCCCCCGCCTTCCGCAGCCGCTCGCTTCCGAACTCAATTTTTACTGGTACCCGCTCTACAACGGCTCCGCTCCGGTGCGGAGACCTGAGGTGGGCAAACAAGCATGCGCGGGATTTTCGAGATCTTGCGATACAGTCCGAGCAATAAACGCAGAAGTTATATCCAAACACCCGTTGTGTGGGAGAAGCATCGGCATGAACTGTTTAATGTGCCCATCAGTTGTGTTGAGAGATCAGCAGTGTTTGGATCAACAAAGTGTGACTACTTTGATAGTGGAAACTGTATTTATGGCTTATTTTTGTGCATTTAAACTTCAACCGCCATTGATAGTTGTTAAAAGTTGTTAAACCTGTGCATATGAAACAAAAAACGCCTTTTGTTTATTGATTTATTGTGAAAAACGGAAGCTGTGCTTGCTCCTTTTCCTGTTGGGTCGTTGTGATTTCTGTCCATTTACTGCGGAGGTGCTCCGGCGTCCGGCAAAAATAGGATCGATTCTATTTTTGCCGGACGCCGGAACAGAGGGCGGTGCACGGCGCCGCACTGCCGGAGCACGGCCGCAGTAGTGGAATTGCTCTGATTGACTACAACGGGACTGATTTTGCTCCGGCGTTCGTGTCGGAGCGGAGCGGAGGCAGTGGAATTTGGGGGTAAGTGTAGACCCAGATCCCAACCCAACTTTGAGAATAGATGAACACAGACATTTTTTTAATCGCGTTGTAAAACTTTGGCATTGCCGATGCATGTTAACGACCCCTAATAAGTACACAATACAGTAATCCCTCGTTTATCGCGGTAGATGCGTTCCAGACCTGGCCGCGATAGGTGAAAATCCGCGAAGTAGGGACTCCCAGCATGCCCCTCGCGGGGATTCCCTCCACGTCGCACCTACGTCACAAACCGCGGCTATAAACGGAAGTCGCCTTTCCAGCTCACCACTCAGTCATCGTTTCTTCAGATTCATGATCAGAGTTTCCAACCTACCAATCAATCCAACGAACTATCAGCTCATAGTAAGTTATCTTACTTACTTCTGGAAAGCCCGGCATTTCCGTGTCACTTTGTTGACGCTTGAACGCTCGGGGGTTTCCTAGATCAGCCGGCGTTTCACCGACGCTATCACTTCCGCGTCTGTGAAACCACGCTCCCTATTGAATTATCGTATGATCACATTCTCTTTTTGCGGGTAAAACTCAAGAAAAAAATTTTTTTACTTGGTTTTTTTTAGTTTTATTACAAAAAGTGCATTTTATGATGAAATTGATGAAAAAACAAGAATTTCTTGATATTTCGCAAAGAAAAATACCGCGAATCAGTGAAAAGTACCGCGAATCTGCGAATTCCCCCTGAAAAATGCTCCAAAGAAAAAATCCGCGAAGCAGCGAATCCGCGATGAACGAACCGCGAAGTAGCGAGGGATTACTGTACCACTATTTTTGTTGACCTGTAGTGCAATAAATTCACCCCTGAAAATGCAGCCCTAGAACTTTCTACCTTTTTTTTGTTGGGCTTTTTAAAATTGGATGATTGTGCTAAGTAACATGCAGCCTGTAAAATATTACTCAACTATTAAATTACTTTTATTTTTTATGTTTGAAGGTTTACATAAATTCCAACTACATGCTTAACTTCTAAAACTTAGCAAAATACACAAAATATTCTGTGATAAGAAGAAAAGACATTTTCTATAAATAAAAAGATCAATTCCAGACTTGAGTTTGGATCAGATGCTCACCATGCAGGCCTCCATCAGTGCTGTGTGCATCTCATCTGTTTTATGCTCCTGGTCAGCTCCGGCCTCCAACAGAAAGCGAACCATGTCCAAGTGACCTGCAGACACCAGATAATGGGGTAAATTAATTGGAAAACCCAAGAAAAGGTTACATAGCATCAAACGCACAAAACAGGACAAAATTCTGGACCACACACCATGACTGCGAGTCCTCACAAACATTTTTGCCCATGGCTACTGTTTGTTTTTCACTGCAGAAGCCGTAGCTGCTCAGTTCTGATAAGTTATGTTGTGGGTTGTTTTTGTTAGCTCATGCTTCAGAGCAATTCAGTAAAAACCATGGATGTTAAAGATAATATGACAAGTAGGGTTGGGCATCGTTTGATTTTGAACGATTCCAATTCCAATTCCTATTCCTTGTTTCAATTCTGGTTCCTATCGATTCCCAATTCCGATTCTTTCAAGACATCATCAACAACATCACCTTCATTTAGACAAAAACGTGTTTTGGAGAAAAAAAAAAGACGACTTGCAGCACAACCAGTGTGTTTGTTTCTGACCACGACCAAAGTCTGGAAGAATCCTCTGGGATGAGAGGCTAAATGTCTCCAACACATCCAGAAACGTCCAGCTGTTTTCAGCTAAAACTCTCAGGATGATCATGTCCAGGATGACTGAGAACTACACCTCCATGCTGCAGCAGCGTTCAGGCAGAACAGGAAGTAAAACTTAAACGTAGCTGCTGTCAGTAACAATCTAACAGATTTTAAACATTAAACTCTCAACAGAAATAGTTCAGAAAGGAAATTAAAATGTTCACAACTTTGTGTGTGATTTATTATTATTATTATTATTAATATTTATTATGGCAGAAGCTGGTGTGGTCCACCACACAGAAGATGCTTTAGCATGATGACTAATTATTCTACAGGTTATTGTTCAGCCTTCTGACACACACACACACACACACACACACACACACACACACACACACACACACACACACACACACACACACACACACACACACACACACACAAACGAGCGTTGGTGAGCAGCTGCGTCTGACTGCTGACGCTCCGTGTGTGTTTTTATTTCTGCAGTGAGACAAACTCACCTCACACCGTCCAGAGTTTGTTCTTTAAAGCTTCTATTAAATGTTGACGTATTTTAACAAGTTTCCTCTACACTGCAGGAGTTAAAGTTTACATTACGGAGTAAAAGTTCGGCAGAGGCGTTTTTTTTATATTTGGTTGCCGCGCGCCGGTTGGGGGGAGGGGGACTCGATGCTGCACACAGACAGCTGGTATGATCAGCTCTGAAAAGCGTTGATCACAATTTTCAGATCACGTTTATTTTTTACGGAGATCGGCCGTGGATTCCTCTTCCGTCGGCATTCTAGGAATCGAAACTAGGAATAGAAATAAAAAACTTTGAACGATTCTGGGAAAAACTGTTGGAACCGGTTCCCATCGATGCTCGAAGCCCAACCCTAAGACAAGTGCCTACAAAGTACAGTGTGTCTTGTTTCAGATAGCGCTGCATCTTGTTATTTCAAGCTCTAAAACCACTCCTACTTCCAAGAACATTTCAAAAATAAAGCTCTGAGATTTAGAGCTGAACAATATTGGAAAAATATATTTTGCAATATTAAAAAGATGTATACATTTCCAACGGAAGACTTGAATATATAGTAAGTTATGTGGCAGTTCTGGGGCCTCATTTATCAACCGTACTTACAAACAGATCTGTGCGTATTTCGTGCGTGGGAACTATTTTACGTATTGTGTGGTATTTACCAATTTGTACTTGTGCGTGAAAATGTTCCTAACTATAAGGACAGCTCTGACCATGCGTAGGAACAACATCTAGTGGTAGAACGGGGGAACAGCAGTACTGAAGGTCTCCGTCATCCACGGCTGTTTCTCATTCACAAATTAAATTTACTCAGTATGTAGTTATGTTGGTGGATAAGCGGCTTTTGCGCGTTATTGGTGCTAAAACCAGTAAGACACATTTGACTGACGGGAATCTAATATTATATCATGACTAATATGTGTCATTTGAAGATTTAACAGAGCGTGCACACTGGAGGGGACGCGTTCTCTGTGACGAAGAAATCCTTCTGCTATGCTGTGATTTGGGACCCTTTGTGGCACGACAGACAAATCTCACGAATCCAATTCCAGTTTATAGTTTATTTTACAACTACGAGAAACTCCCAGAACATCCTCCTGCTCCTTGGTCATACGCAACCAGACTGAACGGCAGCTCAGAAGAGACATAGGCTGCACTCTCAAACAACATTTCCAAACAGAACGACTCCTTAAATGCAAATGAGAACCCGTTACTCTACGACATCAAGTCCATTTTTTATTTATTTCTGGTAGAAACCTCTCTTCTGTCCCGACCCCATTTATAATCTCTGCAAGTTGTTTGGTTTTTTCATGCTTCGGCAGCCAGGGTCTTGAATAAAGTTTGTCTTCTTTTTCTGAAAAAATAAAAATAACAACAGGGAATTTCCTCACTTGCTGAGAACGTAGCTTGCCCAAATATGGTTATTATGTCGTTTCTGTATGCAAAAGATGGTGAACGGACACGAGCACCTGGGTACGCAGAGGTGGGATTTATCATCAGACGACTGCGGAGGAACGTGCGTACGAGACGCCACTGCATGTTTCATAAATCAGGAGTACACACATCCTAAATTTCATTTGTAGGAAGGAATATAGGAACGTTCGTACGAACGTCTTGAGAAACGAGACCCCTGGTATCCGGTTGACATCTTACCTATTGAGGTTTTACATACCACAGGTGGTAAATTACATTCTTCTGGGACAAATCAGCATTTTTAAGCAACATGATACAATCATAATGGCAGACAGAGTTATTGCTTTTGTCAATCCACTCACAAATACAAACAATTGACCAATTCACCATCCAAAGCCCATCATTGGCATATTACAGCCACCTTGAATAAAAATGGTGTTGTTAAAATTCTCAAGGGTTCAATTAAGGCCTGCTAATATAATAGTTCATCCTTAACAAGTCTTACATTTACAACTCAACATAATATACCAACGATAACCTGCGAAATGCCCTTCAAACGCATTCAAAAGTTTCAACTATAACCTTTGTTAGTGTCCTAATATTAGTTTTAGACTTCTCACGTGTAGCTTGAACCAGCACAGTATGGCATATTAAATAGCCAATGAAATGTAAAAAATAAAAAATATCTCAAGTAACACCCTTTGTGGTCTGTTTCTGCGAACAGTGATTTGTGATTAAAAGTTTTAATGATGAAAAAAATACTTACAAGTTACAACTGACAAAAAACGTAGCTTTAAGAGGCTGAAAAACCAGTGACAGAGATGGTGAGAGAATGACACAGTAGCGGACATGTCAGTGACTTAAGTTTGCAGTGTTTTCTCCTTCTTGTGGTTAGTAGAACTATAAAAACACTTGTGTTGGTGAAAACAAGAGCTGACCTTTATAGCAGGCAAGAGTGAGCGCGCTCTCCTTGAACTCATTTGAGTGCGTGTTGATGCCCGCGCCATACTCCAACAGAACCCTGGCCACCTCCACGTGGCCGGCACTGGCTGCCTCCATTAGTGGGGTGTGTCCGTTCTCATTGTGGTCCTCGATGTTTGCGCCCTCTTTTAGCAGCACCTTCACAACGTCCACAAAGCCGCCAGCGCACGCGTACGTCAGAGCTGTGTTACCTAAAGACAACAATATGATTAATTTTACTGAAAATGGGACACAAACCTCAGATTATTAAAGATGTTTGGATAATCTCACCTGTTGAGGATTGTGCATTCACATCCGCTCCGTGAACCAGAAGCAGTTTGACTATGTCCACATAACCTCCACTGGCAGCAGCCATGAGTGGCGTTATGTCCCCCTTGATGCCCCGGTCTTCCACATTGGCATGCATGGCCAACAAGACCTGAGGGCAAAAGTTATGTAAAGAACAAGAAATAGAAAATCGAGCAAAACAAAATACCCACCGCACACTTCCATACCTGTGCAAGTTCATAGTAGCCCGCTGAGCAGGCGAGACACAGCAGGCTTTCCCCCTCTTCTGTGTGTTCATTGACGCTTCTTCCCTCATCCAGTAATTTGCGCACAGCGTTGACGTCCCCATCAGAACACGCTTCTGCTAAACTACGGCTGAAAATAACCAAACTGCTACAATTACTGCCACTGTGACAAGCTGAACACACACGCCTCACACTCACGCAAACATCACCAAGAAACACCTGTGCATGTCTTACTTTAGCCTCTGAAGATAAAATTTGAAGGACTCATCAGAGACCACATGGGGGAGATACATACTTGTCAGCTTGGCTTGCGTTGAGCGTGTTTTCGGCCCTCATACGGGTCAGGGCAGCGGCCGCCTCGTCCAGTGCGCAGCTCACTGATGACGTTAGCCGGCGTAGCACCTCTGGGTCTGCAAAAGCTTTACCATCGGCAGTGGACAGTTTACCAATGCCTGCCGAACATCAAGATGGCAGAGGTACACAGGGCAATGCAAACCACAGGGAAGCGGGACCAGAATCCACACCAGACCAGATGAAGAAGCAAGTCAGGTCCAGCCAAGCCAATCCAATCCAGGGTTAGTAGTTGAGTACACACAGAGGGGGGAAACAAAAAACCCACACACAGAAAACACACAAGCATTTGTTAATTAGGCTAAATATATCCAGTCACTGCAGCATCTGATATTTTTACTTCTTCCAAAATTGCAGGAACAAACAACATTTGATGGACAAATACTGGACCGTAAAAGCAAACAAAGATCTGTGTCAAGAACCAAAAAAATGCAGTAAAGAAAGGCGGTAGTTTAGCAAGTGAACCGAGGCTACTTCCACATTCTACGTGCTCCAGCGGCTGGTGGAGCAGCGCAGGGCTGTTCAGATTATGACACAGGAGTCTAACATGGGCAGAGCTCCAACAGTCGTCTACCCAACACACCTTAAACATTGTTTTGTTTAACTTTGTGTGGGCAAAATGCCAAGACCGTAAGGAAAAAAATCTGTTTAATCAAATAAAAAAAATTAAATAAACATTGCGGTGTCTGGTTCTAGTATTTCCTAGTTCCTACTGCATGAGTTCAGATGTATTAATCCATGCACTTAAATATTAATGTTCTGATTTTATTGAAAAACTTGTTCTGTTATAGTTCCTTTACTATTGTGATCAAAACTATTTAATCTCATTTCTGAGGCTGCTCTGTAAATAGATTTCAAATAAACAATACACATATCAACTTCTGATCGATACATATCAATTTCAGATTTAAAATAATGTATTGATGTAAACCACACCCACTTCCGGTTAAACAACACCCACACCCACTCAAGAGTACAGAAACAGATCATTTAGATGATTGAACAGATACAGATAGTGGTGTGAATAGTCTACAGCTGCAGACCAGCAGATTCGCTGCTGCAGGCGTGAATCTGCAGCCGTGTCCTTCTTGGCGTGACCACTCCGGAAGGTCCGCTCAACTGTTCACCGCTCAGACGTCAGGACCCTTCTAGATCATCCAAATGTAACCGTTTTCTGATCATTTCTTTAGTCCCGCTGTAACACTGGTTGCATCGGTCTCAAACGTCATGGAGATCAGGTGTTATTAGAACTACCTGTGTGTCTTTACCGCCCAGCTTCAGCTCTTCTGTGGTTGGGTCTGACCCATGTTATTAAATTGAAGTCCTCCGTCACATTTGTGCCTCTTCTAGTGTCATTTTAAAAGATTATTTTTTTAACCATTACTAGAATACCAGCAACATAAATGCTGGAAAAATTAGAACACTGTGCAAAATTACATTTATTTCACTAATTTAACTAGACTGAGAGCCCATTTAAAGGCTCAGGAACCTTTACAGGTGTTTCTATTTAGGCCCGAGCAGCGAAAGCGCTGCGAAGGCCTCTTGTTTTTGCTCTGTTTATTAGGCCCGAGCAGCGAAAGCGCTGCGAAGGCCTCTTGTTTTTGCTCTGTTTATTCTTTCTTTTTATTTATTATTCTTAGCCCGCTTTGAATGGCTTTTTGGGGACCTTACCATACCCCAAAACTCACAATATTTTGCAGACATGTCAGGCCTGGTGAAAAATTTGATATTTTAAAGGTCCCCAAAAAATCGCAAAGAAAATGGCTGAACAGCGCCCCCTAGAAAGTGAAAAAAAACCCTCTCCATAAAGCTTAGTTTATCGTACAGTTATGAAATTTGGTACACTTGTAGTACTCAACAGTCCGCACAGAAAAGTCTCTTGCAAGCATGGTCAGTATCAAACAGGAAGTCGGCCATTTTGGGTTGAAATGGCGATTTTTAGCCGTTTTTGCCGTTTTTAGGGTCCGTTTCTGATTGGATTGCTCGATCATTTTTCGCACGATCAACTCAAAAATTGTGTAAAATTGCTCATAAGGGATGGGCGAACAAAATGAGACAAGGATTCTGACTTTTCGTGTATGTTGAAGGGGCGGGGCCAGGCCTCGAAGTTTGACTACTCGCCAAAAAAATTTAAATTGCTATAACTTCATAACTGAATGGAATAGAGTTACCAAACTTTCTGTGGTCGTTTGTCATCCACCCACAAAGTAAATTGAATAGTCGGATGATGACATCACACAAGCCCCGCCCCCTCAGGAGCAAAAAGGTCAAGTTTTACTGTGAAAGGTCCCAAATTGCCCCATTTCACTTAATCACCACAAATTTGTAGCTGGTAACTCAAGACAAGTGGGGGTTGCTTGGCGTCACTTTATGGGAATTTTCGGCAGAGGGCGGGGCTGTGGCGGCGCGAAGAAGACAGGCGAACCGCCGTGGCCTTACGTTTGCCTCCCATTTCGTCATTTCTAAAGATATCGTCACGAAACTTTTTGTGAGTAATCCTAGTCTGGCCCCTCAAACAATCTGATGTCAACATCCGGTGGGCGTGGCCTATTTTCTGAAATAGCGCCCCCTAGGACCATTAAAACTGTCAGCCCCAAGCCATGCTTTGACTGAGGATTACGAAATTTGGTACACTAATGTGGTGTCTCAGGACCTACAAAAAAGTCTCTTGGAGCCAAGTGCAAAGTCGCACAGGAAGTCGGCCATTTTGGTCCAAGTACACGATTTAGTGGTTTTCGCACACGTTGTTTGGAGAGTGATGCTCCATCGCCATTTTCACCAATCTCCTTCAAACTTCTGCTATATACTCTTAAGACATAGGGGAAAAAATTCAACCGTCGGATTTTTCAAAAGTTGAAAGTTGTGGGCGTGGCTAAGCCTCAAACTTTGACCTGCCGCCACGCCACTCTTTTTTTCACAGCTCCCTACTGGACTCCTTTTACCCAATCACCAGGATTCTGTGGGAAACAGCAGGAGACAACTTGAGGTTACTTGGTTTCCAGTACTGGCAGGTTTTGAAAAAAGGCGGGGCTTTGGGAGCATGGCGAAAATCGCCATCACGCCATGGAAATACGTTTGCCTCTCATTTCTTCAGTTATCGTGATATCGCTCCGACACTTCTGGTGAGTGATCCTAGTCTGACCCCCAAGAGAAATAGACAGCTGAAGTTTGTGGGCGTGGCCTATGCTCTTAAATAGCGCCCCCTAGGTCCATTTAAACTAATAGCCCCAAGCCAAGCTTTGACTGAGGATTACGAAATTTGGTACACTAATGTGGTGTCTCAGGACCTACAAAAAAGTCTCTTGGAGCCAAGTGCAAAGTCGCACAGGAAGTCGGCCATTTTGGTCCAAGTACGCGATTTAGTGGTTTTCGCACACGTTGTTTGGAGAGTGATGCTCCGTCGCCCTTTTCACCAATCTCCTTCAAACTTCTGCTATATACTCTTAAGACATAGGGGAAAAAATTCAACCGTCGGATTTTTCAAAAGTTGAAAGGTGTGGGCGTGGCTAAGCCTCAAACTTTGACCTGTCGCCACGCCACTCTTTTTTTCACAGCTCCCTACTAGACTCCTTTTATCCAATCACCAGGATTCTGTGGGAAACAGCAGTAGACAACTTGAGGTTACTTAGTCTCCAGGACTGGCAGGTTTTGAAAAAAGGTGGGGCTTTGGGAGCATGGCCAAAATCGCCATCACGCCATGGAAATACATTTGCCTCTCATTTCTTCAGTTATCGTGATATCGCTACGAAACTTCTGGTGAGTGATCCTAGTCTGACCCCCAAGAGAAATAGATAGCTGAAGTTTGTGGGCGTGGCCTATTCTTTTAAATAGCGCCCCCTAGGACCATTTAAACTAATAGCCTCAAGCCATGCTTTGACTGAGGATTACGAAATTTGGTACACCAATGTGGTGTCTCAGGACATACAAAAAACTCTCTTGGGGCTAAGCGCAAAGTCGCACAGGAAGTCGGCCATTTTGGTCCAAGTACGCGATTTAGTGGTTTTCGCACACGTTATTTGGAGAGTGATGCTCCGTCGCCCTGTTCACCAATCTCCTTCAAACTTCTGCTATATACTCTTAAGACATAGGGGAAAAAATTCAACCGTCGGATTTTTCAAAAGTTGAAAGGTGTGGGCGTGGCTAAGCCTCAAACTTTAACCTTTCGCCACACCACTCTTTTTTTCACAGCTCCCTATTGGACTCCTTTTACCCAATCACCAGGAATCTCTGGTAAATAGCAGCAGACAAGTTGAGGTCACTTGGTCTCCAGTACTGGAAGGTTTTGAAAAAAGGCGGGGCTTTGGGAGCATGGCGAAATTCGCCATCACGCCATGGAAATACGTTTGCCTCTCATTTCTTCATTTATCGTATCACCTCGACATTTGTTGTGAGTGATCCTAGTCTGACCCCCAATAGAAATGGTCAGCTTAAGTTTGTGGGCGTGGCCTATTTTCTGAATTAGCGCCCCCTAGGACCATTAAAACTGTCAGCCCCAAGCCATGCTTTGACTGAGGATTACGAAATTCGGTACTCTAATGTTGTGTCCCAGGACCTACAAAAAAGTTTCTTGGAGCCAAGTGCAAAGTCGCACAGGAAGTCGGCCATTTTGGTCCAAGTGCGCGATTTAGTGGTTTTCGCACACGTTGTTTGGAGAGTGATGCTCCGTCGCCCTTTTCACCAATCGCCTTCAGACGTCTGCTATATACTCTTAAGACATAGGGGAAAAAATTCAACCGTCGGATTTTAAATAAGTATAAAGGTGTGGGCGTGGCTAAGCCTCAAACTTTGACCTTTCGCCATTACATTACTTGACAATAACTCCCATGTGCACGATCAGCTCTATATCAAACTTTGTCTGTGTGATCATTGACCACATCTCAAGGCAACGTCATTGTGGACAGCTGCCATCACCTAAGCCACGCCCCCTGACAACGGGAAGTCTATTGTTTTATGGTGAAATGCCCATATTTGTCCCCTCTAATTTAGTGAACATGACACTAAGGTCATACACTGTCTTAATGCTGTTGTAATTACCATTCAGACTTGATAGATTTCCAGAAAGGGAGGGGCTTTGATGCCATGGTGAATGCTGGCGTGACCC